GCACCCGGCGCTAGCAGATTGAAGCCGCCGGTTCCCGGAAGAGGAGGTGGGGTGCGGCTGTCCGGGGCTTTATCCTTCTGCCCTCTTTGCTTGGGTCGGGCTTCGAAAGAGCTGTTAGAAGTGGTGCTTATAATGGGAAGGGGGCAGCAGCATCTCTTCGTCTTAGCGACCTGTTTTTTTCGTTCAGCCCTTCAGAACAATGGTGGTCGTTCCTCACGCTTCTTTAAATAAATCTTTATTATTTTCTTTACATAAGCTTTTTAGACAGCAGTATCGGAGCTCCCTGCTGGGGTCAATAAACTGGTTTGAATTGCAACACAATATTTGCTTTACTAGAGACCTGAACCACATTCACGTGGTTATGGGTTTTGGTTTTATGTTCGGTTTTTTTTTGGTTTTGGGGTGTGTGTGTGGGTGTTTGTTGTTTTTTTGGTTTTGTTTTTTTTTTTTTGGCCTGGCCTTTGAAATAGTCTTAAGTGCTGTTACGCTTGATGTGTTGTAAGAATGTTGTGGTCCTACAATGCAACGCTGCTATTTGCCATCCTTTACCTAAAGCTGCTGTTAACACTAGTCTCCTGGCTCCCCGCTGAGGAGAAGACCCCTCAACAGCTCCTGCATACTGAACATGTGTGCATCAAACACTTCATAAGACTTGATCCTACTATCAAAGTCTGTATCTTGGCAGACAGAAAAAATGGTTCAATTTGTATTTTTTTTCCGTGGAAAAACTATAAAAAGAATTAACGCTTGCTGAAATGCATTCTAAAGTACATCTCCATTACACATAGATTAGGAAGAAGGTAATACGGTTTTTGGTAACATACATGATCAGTCATGAATCCTAAAAAAACCCCAAACAACAAACAAAACTTAGAATGCTAATTTGAGTATGGCATAACTTATTTTTTAAAACCAACATTTAATAAATATCTAGATGGTTTGGTTCATCTGGTCTTTAAAATTACATTTTTCCCTATGTTATGACAGATTCAGTATGTTCTAAGATAATAGCAAAGTCTCTTCTGCCAAACTTCTGAGTGAACTTATGCCAAAATCTAAGTGAACGCTATTTTTAAAAATCATCTATATGCATTGCAATGCTGATTTGTCCACTCTTTAAAAAAAAAAAATATGAAAATTACAGTCTGAAAGAATTTTTTTTTTAGCTGTTACGGTTTTGCAAGATTTAACACCCCCCCCCCAAAAAAACCCGCAGTTAATGGGTCATCTAAGAATAATACTGAAGTATTTTGTCTTGTAGATCAATTTTTAATGTAATAGAAGGAACCAAAACATTTGGGTTTGCATGTCTCTTAATACCTGGAATTTTGTAAGTTTTAAGTGGAAAAATGGTTTATATTTTAATTATTTTTTTATCTTAAAAAGCAATTAGCCAAGTTAGATTAAGGATGTGATGTTGTTGTTAGTCATCTCAAGAGAACTGAAAATAAGTAAAACACTTTATTTAGTTTCAATAAATTATTTAATGATCTGAGAAAAAGAGATTTTGCAGGACTTAAGAATGTAGATAGATCTTAAGATATACGTGTAAAAGAAACTGCAGATAACAAACATGTCCCAGATTGTGGTATGATTTCTGAGAATTGAGCCCCATAAATTCAAAGGGAGATCACTCTCAAGTGGAGGAGTTTTTGAGCACGGTTCTTTGTTTTCTTTTATTGTCCTTTTTTTAAAAAGAATGCTCAGCTTGAAAAAAAAAAAAATCATAAACGTGTGCAGTTTCAGATACGGATTTTAAAACTGATGGGCAAATGTGAGATAGAGCTGACTTATAGCATTCTTTCATAAATCTAGAATTCACTAGAATATGAAAATATGCATTTTAAAGTATGCATTTTAAAGTGACTTCTATTGTATTTCAGTCCAACAATATAAACAAAGATTTTTTTATTGGTGCTGCAAGTAATGTCATTGTGAAAAATAACCATATCGATACAAGCTTGTTTTCAGAACAGACTGATTTTTATTTCATTTTATACTTGTACTACTTTGGAGAGCTTTTATAGAATG